TGTAAACAGTGTGCTTTTGTTTTGCTGGTCTCATTATTTTATGCTGTGTGTCCTTGCCGGTTCTGTCTATGTGTGTGCTGCAGCCCGAAGCGTAGCCAGGCTTGTTTGATTCATTCATAATGTCATCAAAAAGCATTGCTCCTCCTTCACTAGAACTAGAATGGTCCAACTACAGAATACAGTGGGGGAAAAAATATTTAGTCAGCCACCAATTGTGCAAGTTCTCCCACTTAAAAAGATGAGAGAGGCCTGTAATTTTTATCATAGGTACACGTCAACTATGACAGACAAATTGAGAATTTTTTTTCCAGAAAATCACATTGTAGGATTTTTAATGAATTTATTTGCAAATTATGGTGGAAAATAAGTATTTGGTCACCTACAAACAAGCAAGATTTCTGGCTCTCACAGACCTGTAACTTCTTCTTTAAGAGGCTCCTCTGTCCTCCACTCGTTACCTGTATTAATGGCACCTGTTTGAACTTGTTAGGTAAGCAGCTTGGTTTGAAGAAATCAACTGTGGGAGCAATTATTAGGAAATGGAAGACATACAAGACCACTGATAATCTCCCTCGATCTGGGGCTCCACGCAAGATCTCACCCCGTGGGGTCAAAATGATCACAAGAACGGTGAGCAAAAATCCCAGAACCACACAGGGGGACCTAGTGAATGACGTGCAGAGAGCTGGGACCAAAGTAACAAAGCCTACCATCAGTAACACACTACGCTGCTAGGGACTCAAATCCTGCAGTGCCAGATGTGTCCCCCTGCTTAAGCCAGTACATGTCCAGGCCCATCTGAAGTTTGCTAGAGTGCATTTGGATGATCCAGAAGAGGATTGGGAGAATGTCATATGGTCAGATGAAACCAAAATAGAACTTTTTGGTAAAAACTCAACTCGTTGTGTTTGGAGGACAAAGAATGCTGAGTTGCATCCAAAGAACACCATACCTACTGTGAAGCATGGGAAACATCATGCTTTGGGGCTGTTTTTCTGCAAAGGGACCAGGACGACTGATCCGTGTAAAGGAAAGAATGAATGGGGCCATGTATTGTGAGATTTTGAGTGAAAACCTCCTTCCATCAGCAAGGGCATTGAAGATGAAACGTGGCTGGGTCTTTCAGCATGACAATGATCCCAAACACACCGCCCGGGCAACGAAGGAGTGGCTTCGTAAGAAGCATTTCAAGGTCCTGGACTGGCCTAGCCAGTCTCCTGATCTCAACCCCATAGAAAATCTTTGGAGGGAGTTGAAAGTCCGTGTTGCCCAGCGACAGCCCCAAAACATCACTGCTCTAGAGGAGATCTGCATGGAGGAATGGGCCAAAATACCAGCAACAGTGTGTGAAAACCTTGTGAAGACTTACAGAAAACGTTTGACCTGTGTCATTGCCAACAAAGGGTATATAACAAAGTATTGAGAAACTTTTGTTATTGACCAAATACTTATTTTCCACCATAATTTGCAAATAAATTCATTAAAAATCCTACAATGTGATTTTCTGGAAAGAAATGTTCTCATTTTGTCTGTCATAGTTGACGTGTACCTATGATGAAAATTACAGGCCTCTCTCATCTTTTTAAGTGGGAGAACTTGCACAATTGGTGGCTGACTAAATACTTTTTTTCCCCACTGTATATTATTTCGGCCGCATTAAGTGATGCTATATTTTCTGTTATTTTCTGGATTTTTTTGTTTGATACAATGTATTGGACGATTTGTGGTCCCTCTGAATGTCCTATAGTCACGGTTCAGCACTGATCATTGTCATGTTTGGCTTATCAATGAGCAATAGAGTTGGCAAGAGCAGAAACAGATCTGGGACCAGGCTAACAGTATGGCACTGTATGTAGGTAATGAGATGGGCATTTTGTGGTGGTATGTAGTTAATTACATGGGCGTGGTGTTGGTTGTACAAACAAGGTTTGTCTGCCTTTCCGCTAGACCCTCCCGCTGTGTATGTGTTTAATTGAGCATGTTTAATATTGTTATGGATCTCAGTCTTTCCATTTACTCAGGATTAATAGCTAGAGTCCCTCTCCACTCAGAGTGAAAGGCTTCATCCCAAATGGCACCCTATTCCCTATATAGTAAACTACATTTGACCACGGCCCACAGGGCTCTTGCCAAAGTAGTGCACTATGTAGGGAATAGGGTGCACAAACAGAAAACCCAAAGTCTATATTATTATATTTCTGGCTTGAAATGATGTAGATTTAGCGCTGGCTTGATTTATGAACAGTTGACTTTTTCAACTAAATAAATTGCTAATTCATGCTGCGGGTAATTATATATGACACCTAAAGTAGCCTATTAAAAATTATTCCATCATTGAAGTGGCACTTGGCAGAGGCAGGGGAGCTGGGAGAGGATGCAGAAAGGGATGCTTTCTGCCCTCAAATGAGTGTGTGAGTGTGTGAGTGTGTGTGTGTGTGTGTGTGTGTGTTTGTGTGTGTGTGTGTGTGTGTGTGTGTGTGTGTGTGTGTGTGTGTGTGTGTGTGTGCATGTGTGTGTTTGGTTCAATTAAGGCCACACAGATAATAATGAATGAGTTTTAGCTCTCCTCCGTACGTGTGTGTGTGTGTGTGTGTGTGTGTGTGTGTGTGTGTGTGTGTGTGTGTGTGTGTGTGTGTGTGTGTGTGTGTGTGTGTGTGTGTGTGTGTGTGTGTGTGTGTGTGTGGTGTGTGTGTGTGTGTGTGTGTGTTGTGTGTGTGTTGGTGGTGTGTGTGTGTGGTGTTGTGGTGTGTTTGTTTTGTGTGTGTGTGTGTGTGGACGCTATTTGATTATTTGACATTGCTATGGTACTGGTACTCCCTGCATATGGCTTCATTCTTGTGTATTTTATTCCTCTTGTGTTACTTTTTGTTTTTTTACTCTGCATCGTTGGGAAGGGCTCGTAAGCAAGCATTTCACAGTAAAGTACTCAACCGTTGTTGTCAGCGCATGTGACAAATACGATTTGTTTTGATTTGATATGATTCACGCTTAATAACTTTCACAAACCTTTAAATAATGCTGCTATACTGATATCCAAACTATCAGTATGCATTTTAACATTCAATCAAATCAACTGAATTATTCACAACAGGAACTGCAGGGTATGACCCAGATATTTAACTAGTTTCTGAAAGCCATAGGGAATAGTGTTCCATTTCTGACACAATGAATGAAATGATTGGAACAGTTGGCTCCCATGTGTAGCCTAATTCCTGAGAGGTGCTGTTGAATTTTAAGGTTTGCGCCCACAGCTCCTCTCTCCTCCTCCTGCTCTACTCTATGACATGAGATAAATGAAGGGATGGAAATTAGAGAGAGAAAAGAGAGGAGAGATGTCACCTCTCTGCTACCCATCAGGCCCTCTGCTGGAGAGATCAAAGGGCCATGATGTGATACCTCTGGGCTCCTGTTGGGGGGGTGTACATTTGGGGGAAAATTCATTTATTCCATTTGAGATGTGAATGTACAATACTGTTTGTGGCCAAAACCGCATGAAAATGGTCCCACATGCAGACCAAGTGTTCTGTATTTCATCAGCAAACAAGTTAAGATCTAGACTTTGATGTCAGAGCAATTTCTACCTGGAGACTTATTCAAGTCTGTGAAAAAGTGGGAAACTTCAGTGGCTGGAGAGGCACAGCACCAATTATTCAGGCAAATACACACCTTCCCCATGGGGGAGAGGGGAGGAGAGGAGAGAGGGGAGAGAGGGAGGGCTGAGAGCAGCTATTGATTAGCACTGCAGTGCCACACACTTTTTCTTATACGCACATACTCTCTCTCTCTCTCTCTCTCCCTCTCTCTCTCTTTCTCCTCTCTCACTTTATAATGAAAATCAGAGGGTGGCCGTCACGCTACATAACAAATTATAGAGATTTGAGACCAGTAAACTCCTTCCTTTCCTTTCCTCTCTCTCTACCTATTTCTCTCTACCTCTCCCTCCAAACCTCCCTCCCTTCCTGAGGGTACCCTGGTCTTTGGTGATGTCATCCTTAGTCACACACAGTTTAGAGGCTTTCTCACCTTTTACCATTCTGCTCTCTGGGTCTCACCAGTCTCTCTCTACAGCTACACACACTCAGCCCTGCTCTTAAAGATTGGGTTCTTCATAACTAGCTTTTGTCTCAAAGTAGGTTGAGTAAAGAATGTCAGATTTCTTGTAGTAGATACACCTGTCTGTTACACATTCACTCAGTCTCTGCATATAAATCAGTAAATCCATCCATTGACAGAGGGATACATGATAGAGAGATCATAGAGAGGAAGAAAACAGACATACTCCCTCCGTCTAAACCATCTAAACTGGAACATCCATTTCAGTAATGGGTGCAATAAGTCCAAATAACAGATTGGTATAGTTTTGAAAAATGTATGTTGTTTATATTTGAGTAGCATAAGATTAATTACTCAATCAATGTACATAGATATTGAAACAAACAATTCAAAAAAACCTACCTGCAATACAGCATGCTGGGAAATATGATAATGATGGGCGTTGTTTTGGGTTAACACCGGTTATTATCACCAACACTGGGGTTCTTTTTCACCAATGAGTGTTAATTTAACACCTGTATCAACACTAGGTAACACTGGCCAATTTGCTGTGCTCGCACATACACAAACTCTCTCTCTCTCTCTCTCGCTCCCGCTCTCTGTCACATTATAATGGAAATCAGAGGGTGGCCGTCACACTACAAGACAAATTATAGAGATCTGAGACCAGTAAACTCATTCCCTTCCCCCCTCTCTCCCTCCATCCCTCCCTCCCCCTGTCTCTCCCTCCCTGCCTCCCTGCATCATATGGGGATGATTTCTGTATTTTGAAAGCTACATATCTTGAAAACTTGATTGGTGACAAGCAAAACATTTTGGGACTATGTCAACAATGGACTAATGAAACAAATACCAAAATATAGTTTTTGGATAGACTTTTACTTTAAGGGAGTATGCGAACACTTCGGCTAGCCGCCAGCCGAACTGAAGCTTGCTGATGCCTTTAGTCACACACAGGTCCCTAGGTAGCCTGTGGAGGAGGGAGGGATGGAGAGATCAGGGATGGAGGGAGGGATGGAGAGATGGATGAAAGAGGGGTTGCCCCTGAGGCGCAGTGGAGCCCTGCTCTGCCACAAAGGCTATTAAACTCCAACACTTTGTGGCTATTCCTCCTCTCCCTCTATGCATTATTCACACAGATCCAAAAGGACAGCCAGTTAAAAATAGATAGACATGGCCAACACAGTTTAGAGGCTTTCTCACCTTTTACCATTCTGCTCTCTGGGTCTCACCAGTCTCTCTCTACAACTACACACACTCAGCCCTGCTCTTAAAGATTGGGTTCTTCATAACTAGCTTTTGTCTCAAAGTAGGTTGAGTTAAAGAATGTCAGATTTCTTGTAGTAGATACACCTGTCTGTTACACATTCACTCAGTCTCTGCATATAAATCAGTAAATCCATCCATTGACAGGGGGATACATGATAGAGAGATCATAGAGAGGAAGAAAATACATATACATCCCGATGACGTCATTCCTGTATTAGTCTGGAAATGGGTTCTGAGAGAACAGGAGAGTGCCGTGCTGCCGACCACCATTTAACCTCTATTTAAGTATTCATAGCCTCCAGAAAATACGTGTTTCCAGCCTATTTTCAGCTCTCTCTCCTCCTCCACTAATGTTGTTTCCATGTTTTCCCACAACCCTTTTATAAATAATGCTGGGGTGCTAATAAAACATAGAAACAGCTCCCTCTGGACAGGAGGCTGGGAAAAGAGAGGAGAGTTCATCTTTCTTCCTTTCTTTTCCCTTCGTTCTCTTCCAACCCTCTTGTTCCCCTCTTTCCCTGTATTCCCGCTTTCTAACAGAGCTCTAGGAGCTAGTGCACAAAACCTGGGTCAAATACAGAATTTGGAATATTTTCTAATACTTGTAAAGGACAGAGGTGAGGGTGATTTAGCTTGGGGTTTGCCCTTTGGGACTATTTCATCACTCATCACAACCAAGTGAACCAACCACTGAGTTCCAAACTCCCATTAGTCTCCTTATGTTGTTCAACAACAAAAACAAAGCTGTTGTTCATGCCATGGAACCATCTTGCTTTGACTACCCATAGAGATATACTGCATAATAATAACCAGCCAGTGTCTCTCTCAGGCAAAAGCCATGCATGGGGAGCTGTTTTGCAGTGTGTCACTCTGACAGGAGGTTATAAGAGGCAGCCTTGAGTCATTTTCAGTCAGGCACTAGATTTCACACATCTCCTCCTCAACCCTGGGGGCTTCCTTAGAGGCAAGTCTCAGAGAACAGCCCAAACACACTTCTAACACAAGCAGACCAAGAACAATGCTAAAACACACTTCTTACACAAGCAGACCAAGAACACTGCTACCAGACACTTCTTACACAAGCAGACCAAGAACACTGCTAACACACACTTCTAATACAAGCAGACCAAGAACACTGCTAACGCACACTTCTTACACAAGCAGACCAAGAACACTGCTAACGCACACTTCTTACACAAGCAGACCAAGAACACTGCTAACAGACTGCTACCTAACTGTAAGTCGCTCTGGATAAGAGAGTCTGCTAAATGACTAAAATGTAAAATGTAAATGTAACAGACACTTTTGAAACTCACACATCTTACACACTCAGCCCAAGTACAATCTTCAAACACACTTCCTACTTCCATATACACACTAACACAGACAAACACACCAACCTAACACATACACCCCAAATACACTCCTGACAATCACACACATATTTCATTCACATCCATTACACAATCTCCTCACACACACTCGTTACACACACTCGTGAGTCGTGACACACATAGCCCAAACACACCACTCTCACACCTTATACAACTTCCTTACAGACCTGACCCAAAAACACTTGTTACCCCCATTCTCTTAAAGGGATAGTTGCCCCAAACACACATTCTACCCCCAGGCTCTTCCAGAAGCAGGTTGATTATAAAAAACAAACTCTGATGACCTCGACTCACTCTCAAAGAGCTTGAGGAGGAACTGCTAGACACATCATAACTCACCAAGTAAACAAACTTCACTCAAAAACCTGTGTGTGTGTGTGTGTGTGTGTGTGTGTGTGTGTGTGTGTGTGTGTGTGTGTGTGTTCATCAGTGTGATGTGTATTGAATGAGTGTGTTGCCAGTGGGGCTTGTTTGATTAATCATCAGTACGTTGCCCTGGCTGAAAATCATTTGAGACGGACAATTAGAGCTCTCCTCGTTAGTGAGGGCCTGGTCTTCGCTCTCTGTGGTGTGGCAGCCATCTTGATTGAGACAGGCAGAGAGAGTCTACGTCTGTGTCCTCCCTGTTCCCTAAGCAGTCCACTACTTTTGACCAGAGCCCTATGGACCCTTGTCCAAAGTAGTGCACTACATAGGGAATAGGGTGCCATTTGGGAAGCAGTCAGTCTCTCCTCTCTAATGAGATCTCCTGGTTGTTGTTGTTGTTGTTGTTGTTGTGATGTGAAGAACGCCTGGCTTCATTATCAGCCGCTTAATTCTCTCATCATTAAGGAAATCAACAGCACAATCATTAGACTCCTGAGAGAGACACTCTCACTATTTCTTGCTGTTGATCTCAATCTCGCTTTCTGTCTCTCTCTTCTGTCAGTCTCTGACTCACTCTCTTCCTGTCTCTCCCTCCTCTCACTCAGTTCACAGTAAAACAGACACATATTAGCACACTTTCTGTCTGGACCTGTCGTCCAATCATATTCTCAGAAGTCTTGCCTTCTGGCCTTCTGGCCGTCTGTAACTCTGTCCTTTAAACTTTTCAATGCAGAGGGCAAAATCATCCTGATGACTTCTATGTGTCATGTATGACTCATGAGTATGTATTTGTTAATTCCATTCCAATCTAATTGTTGTCTTCGGAGTGTAATGGAGCAACACAATTGATTAATAATTCGCTGAGCAGTCCTTGAAATGATCCTCTTTTATCAACGTGTTCTTAGTTCAACTACAGAGTGCATCACGTTCCGCGGGCCTGAAAACATTTGCTCTCGCCAATTTGGTTCTCAGAAAGACTCTGAAATAATACTTTCTTTACACCCCCTCAATCCTCCATCCCTCTTGGCCTGTTGAGAGATCCATGGACAGACTAGGAAATCCAGCTCAGACAACAGAGCAGCGAACTTCTTCTCATCCTATCAAACAATAGTAACACAGTAATACAGAGTCTATGGGTAATATCACACATCGCAGCAGATTTTACTCCTCCAGACGCTGCATTGTTGGAGTGTTGCATTATCTATTAAATCTACATGCACTTGCGCACAAACGCACGCATGCACACACAGACACCCTTTATTCCTCCCCAACACAAATGGATTTTGAATAGCATGGTAAATGATGGGAAAGACATCACTAACGTTCCCTTTCTATCTGACCTTCCTTCAATTGAAATGGTTGAAATAGAATGGACCCCGAACCTGTCTACTGGCCACACGTCTCAGTGATCCAGAGTGATCTAGAGTCCCATAGTTCTATAATCAACAGTATAATTACCAACCTGGCCCCTCTGGAGCTTCTCAATCAATACCCAAGCAGCCAGGCAGGCAAGACAGTTGTAGGCCTGGTTAACCTGCCTTACAGGGGGCAACGGAGGGAGGAGGTACCCACAGTCTGTGTCCACTACCAGCCCTGCTCTTTAGAGAGACAGGGGGTGAAACATGGAGCAGCAAGGAGGAAGGGTTACTGGAGGGAAACTGTTGTGTCTGGTTGGGGTATCCAGGGCTGGAAGGTCCATACATCCATCCTCCATCTAATTTCTCCCAGTTTCCACCACCACCATGCTGGTAGTGTCTGCTCAGTGCATCTGGGTTCTCCTCTTGTTTGAGACTATGTCTGTGTCCCCCTATTCCCTAAGCACTACATAGGGAATAGGTCGCCATTTGGGAAGCAGTCAGTCTCTCCTCTCTAATGAGATTTTCTGGTTGCTGTTGTGATGTGAAGAACTCCTGGCTGAGTGGGAGAGTATGTTGTGTCTGAAATATCCAGGGCAGGAACCTCCATCCATCCGACCTCCATCTTGGATCTAATTCCTCACAGTTTCCACCATCACTGGGCTTCCCCATTTGGGTTTACCATGCTGGTGGTGTCTGCTCAATGCATCTGGGTTCTCCTCTGTGCTGACTAAGGGAGTCTTGGTGCTCCAGTGGGGAGATTAGCTGGCCCATGCCACCCAGTATGTTTATGACATCTTCTCCAACATGCTATTTCCAGACTGCAACACACACTGCATTATTCATGAGACATGAAGCAGCAGATAAAGCATCTACATAGTAATGTGATACAGAGCACAATCCATCCTCCCAGACATACACACACAAACACAAACACACACAGATATGCTACAACACACACATACATTGAGTGTACAAAACATTAAGAACACCTGGTCTTTCCATGACATACACTGACCAGGGGAATCCAGGTGAAAGATCCACTTTAACCAGAATCGATGATGGATTGTGTATGTGTGCCATTCAGAGGGAGAATGGGCAAGACAAAAGATCTAAGTGCCTTTGAACTGGATATGGTAGTAGGTGCCAGGCGCAGCGGTTTGTGTCAAGAACTGCAATGCTGCTGGGTTTTTCACGCTCAACAGTTTCCCGTGTGTATCAAGAATGGTCCACCACCCAAAGGACATCCAGCCAACTTGACACAACTGTGGGAAGCATTGGAGTCAACATGGGCCAGCATCCCTGTGGGAGGGAAAACACACACAGATATGCTACAATGCAAACACACACACACCTACCAATCACCTGCTCTAAATCCTATCAGAAAAATGAGAGTGAGGCGCTGCGACCTAAAATCAAGGCCCTGTGTGTGCTGTTTCAATGACAGATTTCTCCCTAAATCATGTTTTGTATTATTATCCATAGGTTAAGAATACAGCACCGCCGCTCACACAGAGCCAGGGCAGTGATATGGGAGAAAAATGATAAATAGAGAGAGAGAGAGAGAGAGAGAGAGAGAGAGAGAGAGAGAGAGAGAGAGAGAGAGAGAGAGAGAGAGAGAGAGAGAGAGAGAGAGGAGAGAGAGAGAGAGGAGAGAGAGAGAGAGAGAGAGAGAGAGAGAGAACAAAGGTGTATGGTTGAGAATGTCACATGGCTCATTAGGAGATACATATTTCCACATTGTGCTCGCATCAATCAACCTTGTTTGACTAATGACGGCGGCAACACACACACTCTTATACACTCCTCCATTACATCCACTCTACCATTAATTGGCTTTTGTACCCTAGACAGTAATTGATTTCATTGTTTCTCCATGTTCTAGAAAGACCAGTCTAGACCAGTAGCGTAGATCTAATTTTAACAGCAGACTCCCATGCCCAAAGCCCAATACACACACACACACACACACAAAGTCTCCGGGGCTAGGGGCAGAGTGAAGTGGAGTATTCTTTAATAAGATTGACTGCATTTTAATTGGTTGTCACAATTGAACTTTATCTGCCTGCAGTAGCGAGCAAGCACGTCTGGCTGAAGTAGCGTCTCTGTATGTAATACCAGAGAACCAATGTCAGAAGCAAGGCTGCTTCTAGAACACAATAATTGCTCTGACTGACTGACTGACTGACACAGACACACACACACACACACACACACACACACACACACACACAGGGTTTAGCACAGGCCAGGGTAATATCCTGCTGGAAGAATAAGCATCCCTCTGAGGAGGAGGAGGAGGAGGAGGAGGATGGGAGATAGACATGATGAAGCCCAGGCCCTGGCAGCCAGCAATATACTCAATTTACTGTAAAGAGACCCACTACACCCAACACACAGTGGCTGGTGTTCAACACCTACACACACAGTGCCATAGTATCAACACAAACACAACACAAAGATCCATGACTCTAACATCAAGGTAAACACAAACCATGACATCACCCACACTGAAACCAGCAGGGTTCTTAACCCAGACCCAGCCTGTCTAACCAAGACCCAACCAAACTCAAGTCAAAATAAACCAGACCCACCCAAACCCAACCCAGACCCGTTCCAGTGTCCTTACCTTGAACAGCCTCAGTATATTGGCAACCATGATGGACACGGAGCTGGCCGCTGCCCCGATCACCCCCACGATCTTATCAGGCTTGGCGAAGATGGGCGGGTCGCCGTTAGCACAGCGTACGTCTGAGCCGTCCTTTTCGATGAGGGCCTGGACAAAGGTCAGCGACTGCTCCAGGGCGTAGGTGTCTCTGGAGCAGGTGTCTAGGATCCGGGCACCCAGGGTGATGTTGGGGAGCAGCTCTGTGTCCTTGTTGATCAGGTCGATGGCGAACATCATGGCCTCAAGACGATGGATCCCTTTCTCCTTCTTTAGTTCCCCGCAGGGCACGCCGCCGCCCCCCCGGGAGTGCACCGGGAACAGGCCGCCCAGTATGATGTCGCCTTCCAATCGGATGGAGTGGGCGTACTCCTGATTGGGCGCAGTGCCGATGGCGGGGTCCGTGATTCGCTGAGGGGAGGCCAGGGGTAGGAGCCAGGAACATGTGGCAAGGAAGTGGAAAAGGAAATGGCGTGCGGCGAGGAGAAAAGGAGGGCATTGGGGTTCTGACAACGCCATGGTAACAGTTGGGTGGCGGTGGCGATTGTGGGAGGAGTTACTGAGGAGATACCTTGGAGATTGTAGGCGGGATCATGGGTGAAAGGGGGTCAGTCCCCCGGGGAAGGAGTTGGGGGAGGAGTTAGCAGGCCGCTCTAAGATGTCCCAGCCCCATGAGGCATGCATGTCCCAGTAGAGGAGAGAGAGAGGAGAGACAGAGAGAGAGAGACTCGTAGAGGAGGCGAGTGCCGCTGCAGCGATGGTAATCCTGAACTCACATCTTCAGGAGACCCTGCAAGATACACACACAGAGAACACGAAGCAGTCAGTGCCTCAGTCAGCCATCTACTGGGTAGCACACACAGTCTCTCCCTCCCTCCCTCCCTCCCTCCCTCCCTCCCTCACACACACACATAAATCACTGTTCATGCTGCAATGCCTGTCTTCCAGATTCAAGAGCAAGAGACAGATTAGCATTTGCAACACACACAGTACAGCCCCCTCCCCCCTCACACACACACACACCCCCACACACAACCGCCAATCCTATCCCACTGACAAGACCATCCTACCCGCCAGTGCCAAACCTGTCAAACACATCAACAATGCTCCAGAATGCATTATTCAGTGTGTAATCATTCAGTATGAACTTCTACTGGTTCTACACCTGTTTGACTGACAGCTGCATGGGAATCAACACCTGGAAGGTGTCACCTCCGCTACCTAATAGTTATTATCAGAAACAGTACAGTAATAATGTAGCAAGCCATCCTAGTATGTGAGTCAGTGAGAAGAGGCTTTCGTGGAGCAGGTTTGGTTTAACTTTCATCGTTTTCTTACTGGTCTCGTTCCGCTTTGAATGTCCTTCACGAATTTAAGTGATGTCATTGCTGGCCAATCAGATTAGGCTACTGGGTGCCCTCTTTACCTCAAAATATAATATCCATTGGCGGCCTAGATTATCTGTAGCCCACTAAATAGCTTTTATAATTAATATCATATCACCACTCAATATTCCTCAGACAAAACAAAGGCATGAAGAAAAGACGATCATTGAGACAGATGAAGAGGGCCTTCCTAATAGTGTATTTGATCTGTTATGGATTGACCACACCCACTTCACCAAAATAGTAAAATGTGTGGATATTCTTCTGAGTTAGATAGAAGAGCATATTAATAACATTATAATGTGAAAAAATCAATGAAATTCATTAACATTATAGCTATACTGTACATACGGCAGTATTGGCTAAATAAGTCTAAACTTCCCGCTGCACGCCATAACCACTTTTGCGTGCGTCTGTGTGCTTTCCAAAAGGCACAGATGCTGCACAGTATGCTTGTGTGGGCTGAACCGGCTGAGCATTTCTGGGATGCTGAGATGCTAGGGGACTTCTGTATCGTTGCATACAAATAGCCTAATGTATATTCTGACATCGTGGCAATATTTCTCCCTCCCCCTCCATGTACCCATATTTGAAAGACGCTCACCTTTCCACACATCCAGCACTTTCACATATATTGAGTGTACAAAACATCAAGAACACCTTCCTAATATTGAGTTGCACCCCCACCCCCCCTTTTAGCCCTCAGAACAGCCTCAATTCAACAGGGCATAGACTTTACAAGATGTCGAAAGCGTTCCACAGGGATGCTAGCCCATGTTGACTCCAATGCTTCCCACAGTTGTCAAGTTGGCTGGATGTCCTTTGGGTGGTGGACCATTCCTAAGGCATTGCGGCTCTTAACACAAACCGGTGCGCCTGGCACCTACTACCATACCCCGTTCAAAGGCATTTAAATGTTTTGTCTTGCCCATTCCCCCTCTAATGACACACATACACATTCCATGTCTCAATTTTCTCAAGGCTTAAAAATCCTTCTTTAACCTGTCTCCTCCACTTCATTTACACTGATTGAAGTGGATTTAACAAGTGACATCAGTAAGGGATCATAGCTTTCACCTCGATTCACTTGGTCAGTCTGTCATGGAAAGAGCAGGTGTTCATAATGTTTTGTACACTTAGTGTATAGTGTAACTATACTCTAAAGAAATATATGAATAATTTACCTTGAAAGGATAATGTTACTATAGCACTTTAACAATTTAAAAAATGTTCTAATGCAATTGGGTAACAGTGCACCTTTATGGTTAGGTTATATTCCTAATTGGCTATTCAGGATGTATTCATGCGTATACTCTAAACCCCAATTTGCTGTCATTACTCAAAACTTTTGAGGAAATCTGTTGCGCTTAATATATTTGAGTACAGTTACTTAATGTGATTTTGTAGTCTTAACTCAAAACGATAGTCACTGTGAGCCTGTAGGGGTTCCAGATTTGAGTTGTATCAGCTTTAACATTTTGAGTAATGCACCCACTAAGTCACGCATCCAATATAATTTCCCAGTGTTCCTTGCCTTTCGAGTGAATTGTAGAGTTACCACCCATGACTGTATTGTTAGTGACAGAGACATGGTTGTTGAATTAATTCATTTTCAGTCCTGTGGCCTTCACCAAGTGAATTCCTAGGTGAATATTATAATTATAATTAAACTTTTTATGACTATACATTACATAAGGCCTTATTTTGAGGTCAAACTAAATTCCAGTAACTTTTCCAGATTTTCAAAAAATCCTGGTTGAAGGATTTCCAGGAATCTTCCAACTGCAATTTCTGGAAAAACTGGGATTTTTACAAGAACTTTGCAACCCTAACTGTAAGTCACATTATGCTGGCTTGCAAAGTGATGTGTAATTCCTATTGGAATCCAGCCAGAGATAGGATATCCAACAGTTGGAATTCTTATTCACCAACAACCTGCATTCACAATGACTGCAAGGGTTAGGAAAAGTATGTGGAGACTACCTAAGCCATTTAAACTGGAACAACCATTTCAGTAAGGGGTGCAAAAAATCAAACTAAATGATTAGATTAGTTTAGAAAAAAATATGTTATTTATCTTTGTGTAGCATAAGATTTGTCAATCAATCCCTCAATGTACATGCAAAAACACAGATATTAAAAACAATTCCAAAAAATCTACCTGCAGTAGAGCATGTTGGGAAAAAGTTAATTTGTTGTTTTTGTTATAATACCTTTTAAAAATAGAGTTGATGTAACTTCTCATTTAGTTTTGAGTCAGTACCACATAAACATTTTAAGTAATATGACTTTTCATTGACTTTGAGTTCAACTTACTAGAAGTATTTGAGTTAAAAATGCCTTGGGGTTTACAGTGTAAGAATGGATCTTTTAACATATTGTTTTCTTTTACACAATAGTATTTAACTTCTGCAATAAAACGTTATCACTTTCGATCCTGCTCGGGTTGGAACGTTTGAGTCACTAATAAGAGAGAAATTCCAGCAGTGTGATCGTTTTTGTTGGCAGTAAGATGAAGGGAGTATTACCCTGCAAGGCAGCGGCTGGGTCATTTCACTTTTTAATTTACACCAATCGCTAGGTGTCATGCTGCACCATCCTCTCTGGGGAGCGCAGTGCTCTTTTCACAAAGTGATAGCTTTTCTCTCTTTTTCGCCTCTTTCTTCCTCTGCTATTTTCTCTCACTCCCTCTGCTCGTTTCTCTCCCCCCTCTCCCCGCCCGTTCCTCTCCCTCCTCCTCCTTCGTTTCCCCCCTCTCACCGCACCCGTTGAATATGACATAGTTTTTGTGCTTTCAGATCACAGGCAGGTAAAGACACCAACCAACGGGAACGAATCAAACACATCCCAAATCCCTCCAACGGTTCCCCCCTAAATTGACTTGTGATCCTCCAATTCCCTTGACCCGTTACAGAATACCTGGTGGAAGTGGTGTGTTAGTATGATTGTGTGGGTTTGTTGCGGGGATAGATAGGGATTAATGCGGGATACACCACCACCACCACCCTCTGATACGCACGACTGATTAAAGCAGTGACATGAAGCAGGCAGCTGCGCTATACAAACCTTGTTTGTGCTCCAAAGAGAAATAACGACCTAATGATATCTTCAAGGTAGTCTACATATAATTAGATAAAAACATTATCAAGCCATAATGTTTTTCATTCAAGTTCAATATAACATTTTGCGTCTATAGATTGAGACAGCGTTATGTGTGTGAAATAATGCGTCCCTTTTCAGTGAGCTCTGAAAATCACACTATTGACATCCCAATTATTTTCATCGAATTTTCCCATATTAATTATAATTAATCATATCACAAAATTCGACATTTGGGCTACGGATAAGATCAGATTTATGGATCATTCCTAAATGCCATCAGAGGGGATGCCGTTCCCTGGCGCGCGGAACAGAGCAGAGAGCGCATTCCTTTGGGTCAATATCGGAACTTCATTGCGGAGCTCAGCAGTTTCCTTTCCCAAACCTGAACCCTCTCATTTAGCTACAGGTCACGATTCTGATTAACGATACAGTGGACTGTCAACATCAACTATGCATGTCAATAATGAAAGGATAAATAGTTATTTAAAGGCTAATTTGCAGAACCATCGAGGGTAATTAATTTAACAATGAGGGAGAAAAAAGGCAGATGGATGAAGAGCGATGGATTCTTCAGATAGAGGGAGAGAGAGGGGGAATATGGAAGAATTATGTTTGATGGGACCATCTCAAACATACGAAAACTATTAAACGAAATATGTAATTTTCAAAAATGCTACCTGCTTTTCCGTGACTTGATTGAGGGTTCCTCGCGCCTTCGCAGCCCACTCACAGATGCACGCGCCTCGGGTTTTCGGTGCTGAAAGGGACAGCGCATGCAGCCATCCAGCCAAGCAGCGAGCGCGCGTCTCCGCCAAATGAATCACACAAAAACACCCACCGGCAGCGATTGGTCTCCCAACTCTCTCTCTCTCTTTCTCTCTTACTCTCTCTCCGCATATCCCCTTCTCCCTTTTTCAGCATCGACACCATTTATCTGTAGCATAAATTACACAAAAACTGTTTGGAATGCAACATTTAAGCAGTCACATTCTGATGCATCTGCCCAGACAGAGTCCCATTAAATTAATCCGTTATGATTGATATCAATGTCTTAAAACAAGACATCTGACGACATCAATAGGCCTACATCTGCTATCTGCATAATAGCCAACAAAAAACGCAGGCATTGATTCCTCTCTGACGCTCACACCAATATACATGTGTAAATAGGCTATTTCTAATCTAATTGTATTGGTCAGATACATGTGTTTAGCAGACGTTATTGCGGGTGTAGCGCAATGCTTGTGCTTCTAGCTCCGACAGTGCAGTAATATCTAACAAGTTATTTAATTTGCAAGGACTACATTTGAGGCATCATTTTAGCCCCGTGGAATGAACCCCAACCTGGCGTCAACGCCTTACAGTAGGAGTGCATACAATGTTCTCATTACATATACCCAACACCAATCTAAGTAAGGATGGACCTAAATCATGCAAACACATGCTCTACATATGAAATGGTGACATGGCGGTATGTAAATATATGTAAATATAACATTATAGTGCAATGATCAAGATAATTCACAAATATTGCCAATAGGCCATGCTAAATTGGTATACAAGAAATGAATATGGACGGGTAGGATGAAATGTAGGAGCTGATTGCTCAGAGAACTCCGGTCATGATGACTAGATACAATAAAATTAATATACATGACTTTAGGATGAGTAATGCAAATAGAAACTATATTAACTATTATAGGGCTTAATGTGTCAATTAACAAAATTGGTCATGCTAATTCTTGGAACATGATATATTTTGGAATAATAAAACAAAATAATAGAGGAGACAAACAAAATACGCATAGTTGAATCACCAAGAAAAGGCTTTCAGTACATAATCGATAAAACTTAAAACACAAAATTAAGCTAACTTTAAACGAGAGCGTCAAGATCACAGTAGACCTACGCCATTAGCGAAACTATTGATTATAGCTCTTCAGAATTTTTTTTTTAAAGCCCATAGGTTGAATCAACCAAAGTATAATTTTTCAGTGATAGACTATCAATCCGCAAAAACACTTCAAATACACCAAAATTAGGCCTACTTAAATCCGAGCCTCAAGATCCACAGTAGACTAGCCCAGTGGTTCTTAAATAGGGTCCGCGGACGCCTGGGGGTCAGCGTAGGTACTGCAAGGGGTCCGCGACCTGATAGCAAAATACTGTATATATACACCGCCTTTCTTGCCTTCTTTGTATAGCAAGCCACGGCCACGTGACTCACTGTCCGAACGAGCGAACCATTTTCGTCAACGGGGTGGTGTACCTAATAAACTAAAAGGCTAAATAAAAGCCTTAAAAATCCTTCTTCAAATACCCTTAAATCACTGTAGATGAAGGGGAGGCGACAGGTTAAAAAGTGACATCAATAAGGGATCATAGCTTTCACCTTGTCAGTCCACGTCTTGGAAAGAGCAGTTGTTCCTAATGTTCTGTACACTCGGTGTGTATAAAACATTCACATTTCAGTTTTTTATGAATATGGCTAGATTGAACGAATTTTGGGCAAGGGATCAGTGGGAAAAGTTTAGAGGGTGCAACATAACACAATGTAATATTATTCATCCAAATTCAATCTTTACCCTTAGATGCACAGCATGGGCCTGGTTTACACAGATATTGGTAGCCACATTAAAGAAGAGGCTGTTGGGAGGAGCTATAGGAGGACGTGCTCATTGTAATGGCTGCAATAGAATAAATGGAACTGTATCAAACACATCAAACATATGGAAACCACATGTTTGACTCTGTTCCATTAATTCCATTCCAGCCATTACAATGAGCACGTCCTCCTATAGCTCCTCCCACCAGCCTCCTCTGACACCAATGATCAACTCAATTCTTGTATTACCTAAGAATGTTGTTTTGAACATAAATGCACTGCACTGTATTCTCTCTGCCCCATGTAAAGATGTGTAGAATTGCGAAAAATTAGTTTTAAAACTGGCAAATGTTATTTTTGGCCCAAGTCATAACGTGTAGAATTGCATGAAATTAGCTTTAAAACTGCAAAAATGTCTCTATGATGCCAAGTGGGGAGGCCTTTAAAATATTTTCCCCCCAGGGCTCAAGACTTGATTAATCCGGCCATGCACTGCAGAAGTCATAGTAAAACTGCTTGTGTGCTATTTGTATTGCATTCTAAAGCAGGGATTGGAACCAAAATTATTTTCCAATCGTTCCTTTCCGAGCGGGACTCCCTAAAAGCAGTCCACTTCGATACAGCTACGAGTGAAAGTTACTTTTTGTAGAAGGTTAGGAGAGCATTTTTGCTAACCCTAACCCTTTTCCTAACCTTAACCTTAGTCTCCTAACCCGCTACATTAATTATCCTAACGTGCTGAGTAAGTTCTCCTAACCTGCTACATTAATTATCCTAACCTGCTGCGTAAGTTCTTCTAAACTGCTACATTAATTATCCTAACGTGCTGCGTAAGTTCTCCTAACCTGCTACATTAATTATCCTAACGTGCTGTGTAAGTTCTCCTAACCTGCTACATTAATTATCCTAACGTGCTGAGTAAGTTCTCCTAACCTGCTACATTAATTATCCTAACGTGATGAGTAAGTTGTCCTAACCTGCTACATTAGTTCTCCTAACCTGCTACATTAGTTATCCTAACCTGCTACATTCGTTTTCCTAACCTGCTACATTAGTTATCCTAACCTGCTACATTAGTTCTCCTAACCTGCTACATTAGTTATCCTAACCTGCTACATTAGTTATCCTAACCTGCTACATTAGTTCTCCTAACCTGCTACATTAGTTCTCCTAACCTGCTACATTAGTTCTCCTAACCTGCTAGGAAAAAGTCACTTCCAGTAGTAGCTGTATCGAAGTGGCGTGTTTTTAGGGATTTAGGGTTTTTATTTCCGGTGTTCTGACCAGAAAATAAAGTTCTGAACCAGCTCAAACCCCCAAAAAGTTACGTGAAAGATCTCCCAAATCAGGTTAGCCATATTCTGTTTAGACAAGTGATGTAATATACTAGCCTAAACAATATACACTCACCAGCCAGTTTATTAGGTACATCACCCCTTTCACGAAAATTGATCGCTCCTACTGACAGTGAGTCACATGGCCGTGGCCTGCTATATAAAGCAGGCAGACAGGCATCAAAGCATTCAGTTACTGTTCGATTGAACCTTAGAATGGGCAAAACGAGTGACCTAAGCGACTTTGAGCATGGTATGATCATCGGTGCCAGGCACGCCGGATCCAGTGTCTCAGAAACAGCCACCCTCCTGGGCTTTTCACGCACGACAGTGTCTAGGGTTTCCCAAGAATGGTGTGATAAACAAAAAACATCCAGTCAGCGACAGTCCTGTGGGCGAAAACAGCTTGTTGATGAGAGGTCAAAGGATCATGGCAAGAATCGTGCAAGCTAACAGGCAAGCTACAAACAGACAAATAATGGCGCAGTACAACAGTGGTGTGCAGAACGGTGTCTCGGAACACACAACTCACCTATCCTTGTTACAGATGGGCTATTGCAGCAGACGACCACAACGGGTTCCACTCCTCATCACCTGGTCCGACAAATCCCGGTTCCTGTTGCATCATGCTGATGGCAGAGTTAGGATTTGAGTCCATGGACCCATCCTGCCTGGTGTCAAAGGTACAGGCTGGTGGCGGTGGTGTACCGCCATCCAATCTGCAGCATCTGCATGATGTCATCGTGTCAGCATGGACCAACATCCCTGTGGAACTTTTCCTACTTGTAGAATCAATTCCCCGAAGAAGATGTTCTGGAGGCAAAGGGGGATCCGACCCGGTACTAGATGGGTGTACCTATTAAACTGGCCAGTGATTGTATACTGACAAAAGGACATACTGTATCACAGCATACTAGGTCTACAGGTCATGGAGAGACCTAAACTTTTGGGGGGGAGAATGAATGTGAAAAGGTAATTTCTGGTGACTTTTTAAAGGACATTCTACTCTAAAAGGAATGAAAATAAAATAATTTCCCCCACCAGAAATTAGTCCAGTAACAGATTGGTCCATATTATCAGGCAGGTGTGCTATTCAGCAATAAGCATTATCACCTGCTGTAGCCCAACTGATGCAGCATAGTGGCTATAAATAAATAGTCTGAGGATTGCACATCTGCATTTACCCCATCAGCTAGATCACAAACTCTAAACATTAGGCTATCTTGTTCCTAGCAACATATTGATGACTTGAATGTCCCCAAAAAACGTTCCACTGGCACTCAGACAAGGATCATGTACTGTGAATATAATGTAGGCCTGTTGCATCTGACTCGTGTTACATTTAGCCCCGGTCTCATTTTACATTTTAGTCATTTAGCAGACGCTCTTATCCAGAGCGATTTACAGTTAGTGAATGCATACGTTTTTTGTGTGTGTGTTTTTTTTCATACTGGCCCCCCGTGGGAAACGAACCCACATCCCTGCCGGCCAAACCCTCCCCTACCTTGGACGACGCTGGACCAATTGTGCGCCGCCCATGAGTCTCCCGGTTGCGGCCGGCTGCGACAGAGTCTGGTCTCCCCTATGCATCCATGGTTAGTGCTATACGGGATCCTTGGGATGTCCCTACCCTAAACCCTAATCTAACCGTAACTAACGATAACCCTAACCTTAACCCATATCTTAACCATTTAAAATGTCAAGTTCAATGGGTAGGAACATCCCAAGGATCCCAGATTGCATGGACCCATAAACCATGCCACTGCTAAAAACGTCTTAAATGGTGCAGTTCACCATTTTGGGGGATTTGAGAAATAAGTGTAACACTAGAAAGCTGTGTGATCTTCGTCTTTTAAGAGTGGCCATCAAAACTGCTTTCAAAGGAGTGTTTTCCCGCGACTGAATTAAGAATGTTGTAGGCTACAATGACTGGGCATGCATGTTTCTCTCCCTGTTGTGCACCTGCAATTTGAAAGTGCCTCGAGAGGAATATTACTTTTTCGCATAGAATGCGAAAAGCTGACCAATTGAATAGGTAAACTATTCTAATATGGGGTTGTCTGATTTTGCTGTTGTTTACCTGTGTTGTTGGCTGAGGAAAATTAAATGTGGACACAACATTTTCATTAGATAATAACAAATTCCCCATAACCAAAGGTACCGCATCTCAGCTCAGCCTGGCTCTCATTTGGATCACAGGTCCTGGGGAGACCCGTACCAATTTAACCCCTGGTGGTGACAGCCTACTGATGGTTTCTCAGGAACTGATGGCTTCTACGATTGTGGCTAGATGGAGTTCCGCTATGGACAGAAGTGACATAACCCAATTCTCCTAACCTATGTAAAGTCACTTCTGTCCATAGCTGAACTCCATCTAGCCACAATCGTAGAAGCCATCAGTTCTGAGAAACCATCAGTATCATAACACCAGCATAATTAATGAGGTGTGTGTCTGTGTGTGTAAACCCTGTGACAAGCAATGCTGCATAATAAGGCCTGGGTTTGACAGGGGGAGGCAGGGCTATAACTAGTTCAGATGGAATAACCATAAACAGAATAGTTCATTCACAGCTCTCCTGACAAATGTTGAGGGTTTGATTAACTCGATTCTAGCTGAAATAGTTGGGGAAATATACATTTCACAACAGAATAAAATACAAATACAAGAACACATTTTCCTTTTGGGTTGTTTATTATTGGGGTAACAGTTGATTTCTTCAGGATGGATGTATGGGATACATTATTTTCAAAAGAAAACCTTACTGATCTACTCTTCTCCTTATCCTATGGAGGTGCTTTAGGTTAGCTCTTTTATATCTGAATGTAGACGACAAATAAGGAAAATCAGTCTTGTAACGGAAAATCACTTCATTTCCCTTCTGCTCTGTCACAGATGTTTTAAAGAAAGAAAGAAAACTCTACTTCATTTCACCATCTGGTTTTGACACAGTCATATGAGTGAGAGTCTGAACATAACAGATTCTTCGGTGCATTGAACAAATAGAGAAAAACGAAATATCTCTCTATTTAGAGATATTGGAAATTATGTAACCAACAGTAGGCTATATAATATCTCTACTTTTCAGGGAGATTCAAACAAAAACTATACATCACCTATACATCTGCCAATATATCCCACAGGGGGCCAGTATGAAAAATGTATGCACTCACTAACTGTAAGTCGCTCTGGATAAGAGCGTCTGCTAAATGACTAAAATGTAAATATCTATCGTTTATACCATCTGTATGATGGTTAATATGTACATCAGTCCGAGACTTTGTTGAACAAGCTTTTCAGTTATAAAAATAAAAATTGGTCTGATCCTTTTCTCTTGTGCCATGGCTTTCTGACTGAACAAGACATTGTACATTTGGTCTGTCACTATGGCTGCGTTTATACAGGCAGACAAATTCTGTTTGTTTTTTCTTCACTAGTTGGTCTTTTGACCAATCGCATCTTTTCACATCATGATTTTCATGAAACCATTTTTTAAATGTCTGTAGCAAATTGAGTTACAAAACCATGATGCATCTGCAAAAAGCAACTATCATTCTGAGGACTAAGATGTCTAGTTTTTGGGAAAGTTTCTTATTTTAAATAAATGTTACATTTTCACCTGAATTTTGTACATTTTCACTCCAAATTCTCATTACCGAAATGCGTCCCGATGAAATTCTCGGGTCATTATGAAATGTATTATTTAGAAAACCAAACTTATTTGAATAAAACAAAATATGTTGCTGTCCATAAATCATAAAAATTGTATACTAGTTGAAGTTTACATTAAACTATAATATTTATTACATACAAAATTGTCTGAGGACGTGTCTTATTATCGTAATTACTGAATCGGCTAAAGAGCTCAAATTGGGATGTCTGATTTAATTTTATAATAATTGTATAATTTAGTTTGAAATATTTTAATTTTCAGTGTTATGTTTAACTCAGGCCTTTTCATTAGGGGAGCAATATTAACAAATATTATAAATATTGATTTGTTTATAACTTTTTTGGGCTTCGAAAACTGTTACATAATGAGAGTTTTGTGAAAATGTTGGTAAAATGCATAATATCTGATAAATAAAATAAATAATATTTATGAAATAGATCAATTCAGATCCTAATCTCAGTGATTCAAGAGGAAATTTCGGGGAAAATGACACTTGAAATTATTAGAGCTTTTTCAGAGCTGATCTGATTGGTCAAAAGACCAATTAGTGAAAAAAATATCAGAATTGGGCTGCCTGTTTAAACACAGCCATAGTCACTCATCAATCAACCGTCACCATCTCTTCAATGTGCCAGACAGAGCATCGCTGGTCATCTACCTACACATCTTTCTCCGTCAGTTAACAACCCAAACCATTTCTCTTGGAATGACAGAAAAACTAAAGCCCATCTGGATGAACTGAGTTATTAGTATGGAGTCCTTCCCAGTGGATGGATAGCTTACTATGAGTTTATTGAATCCCAATGGTTACTAAAAGGTCATGGAGTCCCCAGTGGGAAAAGCCTACTACGAGTTGGGGAAATAAACCACTAGTATCACCAGTGCTGGCTCTGGCTGGGCCAACTTCACAGGGGAGGCTCAATCCTTAAAGCAGGTCTCTCCAACCCTGTTCCTGGAGAGCTACCGTCCTTGTAGGTTTTCACACCAACCCTAATCTAGTACACCTGATTCTAATAATTAGCTAGTTGATAAGATTAATCAGGTTAGATACAACTTGGGTTGGAGTGAAAACCTACAGGAGGGTAGCTCTCCAGGAACAGGGTTGGAGAGCCCTGCCTTAAAGTCTGATCCTATAAAGCAGAACTGGAGCATCCTCTACTGGTCAGATATGGGATATATATGGTGTGCTAAGAGCGCTCCCAACCCTGCCCCCTTCTCTCCCCACCCCTAAGATTTATACAGGCTCAGGTCTAGACCAGATCCAGGTGTGTGTGTGTATATATATATATATATATATATTATATATATGGATCTACATGTACATACAGTGATTGTAACCTACACACAGTAGTGTGATAGCATCAGTGGCTCCTTGAGTGTCCACTGACCCCACTCCTCTGGCGTCACGCTGGCTCCCATCCCTCCTTCTAGTGTTGGATTCCAACAATACTTTTGGTCCCTTAGATGTGAACTCTTCCCTTCTTTCACCGCTTCCTCTCTCTCTCAGTTTCGCTTCCACCACTTTTCCAGTCCAGCCGCTTTCTTCATCATCGTTAGCGGTGCTCTTTCATCCGTTAAGTCTCTCCTCTCAGGATGGAGGCTCCTAAGAACCAGGCGTGAGACGAGACTGGAGATCTGAGAGAGACAGAGAGCGAGACCAACAGCAGTTGTTAGAAGGTGCTCGGCAGTCAATTAGAGCCGGTTTAAACACTGTTACTGTTTTCTCTCCTCTGCTCTGCTGTAACATCACTACCCCAAGGACTAGCCTCCTCCCAGACATAAACACACTTTAATCAGTTGTCTGTCTGGACCTGGATGAGAAAAACACACACTCACTAATCAACTGTCTGTCTGGACACTCTCACACACACAGACACACTTTAATCAGGTGTCTGTGCTCGCTCCCTATGATTGAAACCTCCAGTCGTCCAGGGGAGAAAATAAGTTAAACTCTCTGGAGGAGTAGCGACACCTGAATCAGCCTGTGTGTGTGTGTGTTGAAGCAGACTGAGACCAAAGGGTTTCAATGATGTGTGTGTGTTAAAAGGGAATGTTCTTCCCCTCTCTGTGGTCTCCTGATACTCCACTGTGACTAACACTGTGGACAGAGCTACACACACACAAAACACATAGTGGTGGGGTTAGTTTAATCACAGCTAAAGAGGCTCGTCCTGAGCGGAGACAGACAGACCACACAGAGCCCGGGGGAGAGGAGTAAACCTGGAGGAGCAGGGATTCAGCCTTATTTCCGGGCCTGGCTACAGGATCCATATTTTATTAGACAGAGTGAGTGAAGAGAGGATGAAGCTTGAGGACATCTGTACTCATATGTGATATACGATGGTATCGCCCCCTATAGCCAACCCCCCCCCCCTCCTCCCTCCCCCTCCTCCCTCCCCCAAAGAATGCTAAAAACCACCGTTGGGCTATAGCGGGAAATCGCATGCTACAACTGGACGAATCATGACGAAAGATAATGTTGTTGAATGCCTGGGCAGAGGCTAAGTGCAGGCAAATATTTTCTAATATAATTTTCTGGTGGAGCTTTTGGCATGGAACAGGTTTGTGTTTGTCTGTGTGGGGCGCACATGACGGAGCAAAGTGACAGTCGACTGATGAGGAACGGGCTGTCTTGCCGTAGGTTAGGTTATAAATCATGAGCTGGATAGAAGCAAAGTCTAGCATCTTCAGAACTGGATAATAATAGCTTTATTTTCCTCACTCTCCTCTCTTAATATTGTTTGTTCTATCTGTCATTAAGCTGTGATTGACAATAGCCTTTGCCTAGGCCTACAGACTACCACTTTCATTCTTGTTCTTTTTGAAACGCGGCAACTTCAACTAACCTTCTTAGGTTATTAGAATATTTGGGAAATAGGCTACGGTTCATAACTTTAACAGTAGGAGGACTGGCCACTTGGTTTTCGCATGGAGTTTTCACATGGAGTGATTTCTCTGCATCACACGGATCATTTCTTTCTTAATAAGCTTAAACTTGATTCAACTTGTCATTCGATTTTTCTATAGGCTATTGCTTGTTCTCTCTCATTATTACCCTGGCTACCTTACGTTTTTAGGCTGTTCAAATATTCATAGCCTATCGAAATGGAGAAGGGAATATAGCAAGATAAGGAGAACCCTGCTCTTTCCCTGACATAGACTGACCAGGTGAATCCATGTGAAAGCTATGATCCCTTATTGATGTCACCTGTTAAATCCACTTCAATCAGTGTAGATTAAGGGGAGGAGACAGGTTAAATAAGTATTTTTAAGCCTTGAGACAAAGGGAGGGGGGAGGTGCAACTCAATATTAAGAAGGTGTTCTTCATGTTTTGTACACTCAGTGTATATATATCAAATTAATAGGTTTAGGTTATAAGGCCCATGCATTTGACAGAGACAGAGCGAGAGAGAGAAACAAACAACATTTTCTGACAGGACATTTTGCGATGCTTTGGTAGAATTCTCTGCTCTATATAACAAATGTATTGAACTAGGCTATAGCAAGAATAGGCTAATTACTCGGAATATCACTGTGCTGCCCTGCTGCGCGCTGCCCAGTCAAGTTCAAATAGTCTAAACCAAGTTCAAATAGGCTGTCAATCATTGTCAATAGACGATACTATCGTAATATCGCCCAATCCTGCTCTCCTGGCTCCATCTCTCTCAGTCCCCCCCCCCCCCACCCCTCCCTCCCTCTCTCATAACAACCCATTTCACATGTCACTTCCTCTTTCTATCTCTCCCTCTCTTACTTCTCTCTCTCCCTCTTGACAACAAGATATCAACAAAAGATAACCATATGTGTAGTGAGGCTCACCAGAGCAGTGCCTTGGACCGAGTGCTGACTCCCTTAGCCCGGGCGTCGCTGGGCGGTGTGCTGACCGGTGGCGTGACGTTCCGGTGGATCCTCTTGTGGGACTCCAGGTAAAGTTTCTTGGCGAATGCCCGGCCGCACACGTCACACGCGTGGAGGGAGAAGTTCTTGGTGACACGCACCTCTGTGCTACTGCTGCTGCTCTCCTGGTGGCCGTCATGGCGACGGGTGTGGGGGGGCGTCGGGGCGGTGGTGTCGGGTTGTTGTTTGTCGTTCTTACGGGTGACAGGTGACCTGGTTTGAGCCTCCTGCTGCCTCTCCTGGTTACGAGTGACCGGAGTGGAGGAGAGGAGGTCCTGTTTACGTGTGACTGGGTAGGAGGAGGTGGAGATGTTGGAGGAGTTGTTGAGGAGCTCCTGTTTGCGTGTGACGGGGGGCGTAGGGGGAGAGGGGGGCGAGTGGCACCCGTTCACCTCCTCTGTTGTTCCTCCTCTCTTGTTGTTGTTGGAATTGGGGGGGAGAGTTGAGGACCACCTCAGCCGGCCGCTTGACCGCACGCGACTCCAGCTTGGGCACGATCTTGGCCAGGTAGCCCGTCGACTTCTTGTGCACCACCGTCACGTGGCGCAGGACGTCGCGCTTGCGGCGGGACTCGTAACGGCAGAGTGGGCAGCGGTAGAACTTGATGAAGATGTCCGTGCCATCCGTGTGCAGCTCGATGTGCTTGGTGAGGTTCTGGCGCGAGCTGAACTGACGTTTGCACAGCTTGCAGAACAGCTGCTTGAAGTCGAATCCCACCGAGAGCTTCTGTGGGGTTCTCCCAAGAGTACTACTACCACTACTAGTACCACCGGTACTGTTGATGGAAGTGGAACGAGTCGAGGTCTTGGGGCTGCTGCCACCCTCTTCCTCTTTGATCTTTTGACCTGACTTGGATGCCACGGCGACGCCCTTCCTGTCCGTGTCCTTCCTGTCCGTATCGCCAGGCGACGAGGCGGGGCTGGAGTCAGGGTCGTCACAGGGTTCCACCGCCTTCTCCTTCACACTCAGGTTGTTGCTAGGGGTGCTGTTGCTAGGGGTGCTGTCAGTGTTGGTCGTTGTTTTGCTGTTGTTGTTTTTGTTGGTCGCCGTGGTTGCGGTCGAGGTCGCGGAGACGGAGCTAACGTTCTTGAGATTGTAGATCTTGTGGACGATGCGCATGTGTCTCTTGAGCATCACCTGGGAACTGTACTTCCTCTTGCAGAGCAGACAGCGGCAGGAGGCCAGGTTGTACAGGGCCGACGCCAGGAGAGAAGGGGCGGGTGGCACCGCGGTAGAGGCATTGGGCGGCTGAGGGGTGGTAACACCCACGGCTCGTCCGCTCTTCGGGGTGTGATCTCTCGTGGGGGAGGAGTTGGCGCTCTTGCGGGGCGGCGTGGCCTCCAGGGACAGCGGCTGGCCAGGGCGTGTGGCGATGTCCGGCGTGATGGTGTCCCGGCGCAGGCCGCGGTGCACCTCGTCAAAATGGCGCCGCACGTTGGCCTTGGTGGCGAAGGACTTGAAGCAGACTGGGCAGGACTTGCCGCTGGGCGTGTGCAAGGTGCGGGGCCGACCTTTGACCATGGAGAGGAGGCTGATGGGAACGGTGCGCGTTTCGGTGAACTTCCGGAGCTCCTCCAGCTTGGTCTGATGCATCTTGCGACAGTGGCGGCGGATGCTGCGGCGAGAGTTGAAGTCCTTACCACACAGGCAGCATGAGATGGTAACGTCCTCCACCTAGGGAGAGAGAGAGACAGAGAGAGTATTATAGTGGGAGTTGGTGAGCATGTGTCTGCTTGCACGCTTTCTTTTGTGTGTACCTACCCCACTCGTAGACCCCTCCTCCTCGGGCTGCGCCACCACCTCTCCTCCCTCCTCCTCCTGGTCACTCCTCCTCCTCTCTTCCCCCTCTCCTGTCTGTCCATTTTCCGGCATCCCTCCCTGCTCCTCCCAGGGCTCAGGGCTGTGTGTGTGGGTCCCTCCAGGGGTGTGTGGAGCCCGGGGGAAGTGGGCCAGCTCCTCCTCTGAGGACAGGAACTGGAATACAGCATTGTTGGAGGTCTGGATTGGCTCCAGGCGCATCACGTAGTCTGGCCGGTCCTTCCTGGGGTAGATGGACTCCAGGAGGTCCTTCATAGCCACGCTCTGCTTATCACCATTTCCCGCTGGATCTAAGGGGACAGGGAGGAGGAAGAGCGAGGCTTTAGAAAAGGGACATTTTCAATCAGACACCAATATTTGCTCGTAAATGTGATGTGTACTGAGTCTAGTGATGTCACAACACTAAGGAACATTCCGAGAGAAGGACCGTTTTGAAACTTGCCAAAGGGAGAAACAAAAACACACTATTCTTTTCTGTTTCCAAATAAGATATGTAATGAGCACAGTGTGGCAACAGCAACCACGTTTCAACCATATCATTAAATAGCAATTGAACGTATCTTTGTGGTTTTACAGACATTGTCTTCGTTCGGCTGTATGATCACTAGCTTCAATACACATCAGATGAGAGAACAGAGGATTTCCTAGATGACTTGTCTTTCTAGATATAGACAGAAGTCCTAGAGAATGGAAGAGTAGTGGCTAATGAGGCTGGATCAAAGACAGAGGCTGGAGCATGAAAGATAATTCAGTTAGAGTATAGGAGGAGAGGAGAAAAAGGGACAAACTACATTAGAGAGAGAGAGAGAGAGAGAGAGAGAGAGAGAGAGAGAGAGAGAGAGAGAGAGAGAGAGAGAGAGAGAGTGTAGACCAACGAAGACCATGAGTGAGTGAGCGAGTTAGTAAAGTGAGTGATAGAAAAAAAGAGACAGGCATTAAGTGGGCAGAGTGAGAGAAACATTAAAGAGGGAGAGAGAGAGTGAGAGTCTTAGAGAGGTGTAGCCACGTACCGTCGGGCTTGGGCAGTCTGGTAAGGCAGTAGTGCTCTTTGTGGGTGATGAGGTTGGGCAGGCCCCGGAACAAGCTGCGACACATCTTACACTCAAAGATGGTGTCCGCCTCATTCAGCAGCATGTGCTTCAGCTGGGCAGTACCTACACAGAGACAACACCAGGGGGCAGTGTTAGTGAGCACTAGCTGATACAGACAGACAGGACCAATAGGACTGGTCCATCAAACTCCTAGAGCCTATACCTCTTTGATGTTTGCAGATCTGAAGGAATATGATAGGTGTAATTAAATATGGTTTGGTGGAGGAGCGATCACCATTTTCCTTCAGATCTGCAAACACTGAAAGAGTAGAGGCTAGGCGTTGCACTTTAATCATGTTTCATAACAAATGTATGTCGTGATACCTAATTAAAATACATTCTTGCTATCTGAGCAGCCTGACTACATTACCTGAGCGGAAGCACTCTATGATCTGCTGGATGCCAGACTTGGAGGTCTGGAGCTGCTGCTGCAACAGAGGAGGGTCCCCTGGCTCCACACAGTACCCTGTAGAGGTCACACACTTCAATACAACACTTCACTCTGTCCCCAGCCATGTAGTGTGTGTGTGTAGAGGGGCTATTTCCTACAGGAAGTGACTGGGATGGGTTTGCTGCCAGAGCCTGGGCATATAAGAATAGAAGTAGTAGCAGCAATGACTGGTGTGTGCAACGTGTGTGTCAATGAAAGTCACAGTGTGTGGGTGTATGTGTGTGTGTGTGCAGGCCCCTCCCCCGCCCCTCAGGCTGTGCTGGTCTAATCCGACAGGGCATGTTCCTGACCCCCCCCCCACTGCCTGGGGTCAGATGGTGACCAATCAGTCGAGCCAACACAGCCAGCACCAAACACAGGGGAGTAATCACTACGCCCATTCTGTTTCAAAACGTTTTGTCTGTTGCAAACGGAAAACGTAAACGAGACTTTCTATTGGAATAATTAAGGTAGGTCCCTCCCCGTTTTGTTCCGTTTGCATTTGTTTGGTTCTTAACGGTTTCCGTAATGAATACACCCCAGTTCACCCCTTCCTCCCCGCTAGAGCCTGACCACAGGAAATATGTGTGTGTGTGTGTGTGTGACAGGTTTATGCAACAGATATTTCACGTGCGCTACAGTTATTGAGGCCTATATTAAGAGAGTAGGGCCCAATCCCAAATGGACCCCTAAGCAACATGGTGAAACTTCCACCTAACCTATCAGAGGGCAAGGTGGGAGCTATTACCATATTGCTTACACCTGTCAAATCCTCTCAGATCTCCATAAGTGCATAGGGTGTAGGGGTCATTTGGGATTGGGCCCTTGACTGAGGCTTCCCTCTGTCTCCGGCTGCATTTCAATACTCCAGCATGTCTTCCTTTCCTCCTCCCCTTCATCTGCACTGACGTGAAAGATCTGGACAGGCTTCAGCCATATTGCTTTAGGGCATTTCCATGTAAAAGGAGCCATGAGCAACAACGTGAAGTTCATAGGAGCATGTCAAATCTGGTGTCAAATTAAAGCTAAGAGTAAATTAAGGTATATATTTTCTATGCTAAATATTAGGAATAAGCAAGGCTTTGATTTCTGGTCAAACAGATAGAAAAGGGGTCTTACTAAAAAGTCTTAAAAGGTATTAGAAATATATCAAAACACAATAATGTTACGTCATATGCTCACATGGCCTCTCCTATCATTGCTACGCAGATTAATTCCGTTTCAGATTTTTCTGTAATTCTGGTAACAGACAAATCTGAAACGGAATTACTGTAATTTAATTGGCTACAATGGGAAATCATAGAAGTCACAAACCACAGTTGGGTCACCTGCTACTGTCCTCCCTTCCACTGGCATACTGTTATGTTCAGCTCATAATGGTTTTCTTTCTCTTTCTGTCATCACAATGTGATTTCAGGATTTTTGTTTTAGATTCCGTCTCTCACAGTTGAAGTGTACCTATGATAAAAATTACAGACCTCTACATGCTTTGTAAGTAGGAAAACCTGCAAAATCGGCAGTGTATCAAATACTTGTTCTCCCCACTGTACGTCCATGATTGTTCAGATTTGGTCCAGTCCGGACCAAATCTGAATTAATCATAGACGTCCATGTTTCACAAGTTTGGAGAGCACAGTATAGTACAGTAAAGTTTTAAAAAGTTGAGTAGAGTATAGTTCAGTACTGTACAGTAGAATAGAATTCAGTCCAGTACACAGTAGACCAAACTAGAGTTGAGCACACTAATGTACTGTACTGTACTGAACTATACTCTACGGTACTGAACTCTACTGTCCTGAACTTTACTGTACTCTACTGTTCTGTGCTGTACTCTAATGTGTTGTACTTTGATGTCCAAACTTGTGAAACATAGTCTATTGGTTCATATTTGGTCCGGTCCAACCAAATTTGACCTTGTTTGGGGGCGGAGCTCATTAAAATAATAGCCAGTGTACCCAAATATGCAAAGGAGGATATTGCATATTTATACCTTTGTGTACAGCACCATGAAGCATAATGAATAAGCATAATTAATAATAATAATAATAATAATAATATGCATAATTGTGTGTTTCTGTGTAGTACAGATCAGGGACCCATGATGAAATTCAGTTACCGCAATTCTGTTACCGGGTGTAAATCTACTTCATTTACTGTAGTTCAATAACCAAAATATATTTCTTAAAAGTCAAGGTGTCATGTCATAGCTGAACCCCATTCTTTCTGCAGACACCTCTCCTCTCCTCAGCCACTCTCCTCTCTGAACTAGTATGTTTGAAGGACTTCCTCAGCCGCTCTCCTCTCCTCAGTCAGGACAGACTGGCCAACAATGAATAAATAAATACATTGTATCTATATAGCGCCTTTCACTAGTGCTCCACAGTATGTTTGAAGGACTTCAATCAAACTAACGGTAGGTTGGTGTAGACAAGTGGGGCAGTCTTACCTGGTGTCCTGGGGGCTGTGTCAGGGCCAGGGTTAAGGTCAGTCATTGGGTTAGGGCTGCTGGGCTGTGGCTCGTCTGTCTGGCAGCACTGGTCTCTGGTAACATGGCTCTCAGGCTCAGGTTGGGGCTCGTCCTGGGGTTCAGACTGGAGGATCTCCTCCATATCCACTTCCATCCTGCTGGAACTCTGATACACAGACAGACAGACAGACAGACACAGAGAGAGAGAGAGAGAGAGACACACACAGAGAGAGACACAGAGAGAGAGAGAGAGAGACAGAGAGAGAGAGAGAGAGAGAGAGAGACAAGAGAGAGAGAGAGAGAGAGTGGTGAGGTTTACCTTTTAAACCTGAGGTAACGAGGACGGGAAAAGGAGAGGGGTGGGCGTGGATTTGGGGAAAAAGACACAGGTAACTGCCAGAATAAAGGAAACACTTGAGTAAAGGAGGGATACAAAGTATATTGAAAGCAGATGCTTCAACACAGGTGTGGTTCCTGAGTTAATTAAGCAATTAACATCCCATCTTGCTTATGGTCATGTATAAAAATGCCCAGTTGCCCATTATTGTGGCTACCATGGCTAGAAAAAGAGATCTCATTGACTTTGAAAGAGGGGTCTCAAATGAGCATAGGGGATTTAAAGGGTGTGTGTGTGTGTGTGTGTCTCAGTCACCAGATCTCAACCTAATTGAACACTTATGGGAGATTCTGGAGTTATAGGAGAACCATATGTTTTATAGCAGAGCTAACAAAATACTTATATGGACACTACGGAAACGCCTTCATCCCTCAAATGGTTCAGAAATACCTAATGACTCATTATGCCAAGCACTATATGATCAGCGGTGCTGTTGCTGACCTAGACACCTGCTGTGTCGTGTGGCATTGTTTGGCTGGGTCTGATAAGGGTGGTTGGTGGTTACACTCCTGGCTGGGTAAGACTCTCTCCTGTCTGTCTGTTTCTCTCTCCAGGTTGATGGAGATGTTTCCCAGCACACCCAGCCAGCCAACTAACACACTTTCTCTCACACACACAAGGCTGTCAGAGATAAGGGACTCTACACTGACCCTTGGCTTCTCTCACTCTTGCCCCTCAATCGCTCTCTCTCCCACTTGCTTGCTCTTTCCACCTGCCTCTCTTCTCTCCCCCCCCCTCTCCACCCCTCACTATGTCTCCATCTCTCCACCTCCCTCTCTCGCGTCTCCCCATTGCCTTCGGAGAGGGGAAAAAATACCTGAGCCATGGCTCCTCCTACCCTAACCACAGACACACACCTGACAAACTAATGCAGAAGGTCTCTGATGACCTCAGAGGAAATAAGAAATGTGTTTTTTTTGTACCAATCAGTCTCTTGATGATCGCCTTGAGAAAGTATTGAAACCCCTTTTTGTTGTGTTACTGCCTGAATTTTTAATTGATTTGTTATTATTATTTATTATTTAAATTTAGATTTTGTGTATACACTAGAAGCAGGTGTGTGTAGATTGGGAGTCAGGATATAAACATAGTACACTGGGAGTGAGGGGCTATTGTTTAGGAGAGGTGGGTATAGTATATATTTGGGGTTCTATTGGGACTGTGTACTGGTAGGATATATACTGGGGTTGAGGGAGGAAACTGGTCTTGTCTCTACCTTAGTGTGTTGCTGAGAGGTCTTCCTTGGAGCGGATTTGGCCTTCACCATGCTGCTCTCTCTCTACCCACCTGCAACACACTGGAATGAGCTCATGTTTCAGTGTGTGTGTGTGTTTTCCACCATCACCGAACCATGTTTATATACTGTCACAGAGGTGAAAATAGAGGTAAACCCCCCCCCCCCCCTCTAGTGGTGGTCCCAGGCTAATGCAGTTTCATCCATCACATTCACCTGCCTGACTGTCAGCACACTTCCAAGTCTTCATGTATTATTCCAAGAAACGAGAGATTGCGTGTGCCTCTATCAGAGAGTGCCCAAACCATATACCCCCCCCCCCCCCCCACACACACAAATTATATTTTCAATACACTACGAAGTTGATTAACGGTACCATCTCTGACTGTACCACATATTGACCACCAGATGGTGACAAAGTCCATGTTTTGGAAGTCATGTCAAAGAAGATGCCACAGTACCCATTTTATTCTAGTGCTACCGCCTGAAGAGTCAAACCCCATCCTGACTCAGGTTCCTCTCAAAGTTTCTTCCTTCCAGGTAGTTTTTCCTGGTCACTGGTGCTAGTACTTGCTGACTCACTTTAGGTTACTGTAGGGCACTTTGCAAATGTTTTGGTTACGTCGGTGTACCTGTCCTCAATTTGCACACATTTGATCAAAACTAGTTTTCATATTTCTATTCTTCCAAACCTAGCCTAATTCATTGGGAGGAAGATGGTCATCACAGTTTCAGAGCGGGGAGAAATACAAGAACATGTTCAATGAAGAGTTCAGTGGTAATGCTCTCTGTGTGCATCAGATAGAATGGCCGGGTATAAATGGAGTCAATCCAAAGTCGTGAGGCTCAATCAGAAAACTTGTAGCTATCATCAGATGATGAAGACTTGGCAACACGCTCAGGTGTTTCCATGGAGACAGAGACAGCTGTAGTTGTTCCTACTCAGGTAATATGATGAAGTGTGTATTTATCAGCGGGCCTGTAGAGACAGACACTGCTACCAGAACAAACTCACCAGAGAGTCATTTAAAGGGGAAATCTGTGATTGCTACATCAATTATTTTAAACTTTTAAATTCATGACATACAACCGTCCCATTGATTCTTGAAGAATATAACTCATAAATGCCTCATGCACATAAGTTAGTTGAATTGTCTTACCCCATCAGAATCCCAAATATAAGCTTGTTTTACTCCTTTGCTAGTAAACAATATTTTGTAGACAAACACTGTATAGCCTCAAAACATGGTTAAAACTTTTTTAAAATGTTGTTCTCATGGATGGTCAGTCCTTGCACCCATAGCTCTGTCTATTATTTTAAGAGTGGTTACATTTCTCCAGCCCCATCCCTAAGCTATTTACCAAATCAGTGGCGGGGACGATTGTTATTATTTGAACTGCAGATTGCCCCTTTAACGTCGCCTGATAAGATGTACACTGCTGTGAAAGTACTGAACCCACACTGAACCCACACCTGCACAAGACTCCTGCTAGGCAGTAGGCAGTGAAAATAATTGAATGAAGAAATGACAGAAAAGTTCACAGCAATTATTTCTGTGTGAAAGGGATGAGTGTATAAGTGCGGGAATAAAGATGTTGTAACCAGTGTGAGACACCATAACCTCACATGAAGACTGGCTGCTGCCCCCATAAACACACCCACTAGACAGTCCACAAGCACATCATTAAGCAGGTCTGCCCTTATAGTGAGTGATTCTCAGCTTAATCAATCTAAACCCTATCTAACCATAACAATAGGCTGGGCTTGGATGTTTACATTCAGTTGTTATGCAACCCTCTCCTGGTCATTTTAATTAATCTGAAGAAGAATTAGACCTAAAATATACATAATAATAGCATTATATAGAAATACTTTATCTTGCCCTCGGCTAGTCTTCTTAAAATGGGCTAGAAATCTGTTTCTAAAGTGGGCACTGCTTAGGCCTATACTTTAAAATCATAAACCAACATAACCCAAATATATCACTCATCTCCACATGCTAAATACTGTCAAATTAAAATGCATTCCATATTTATTTTTCATTCAAGTCAATGAGAAAAGAAAAGAAAACGTTTTGTTTGAAAGCAGAAAATCACCCGAGACAAGTGTAACTAACATGCGCAGTGCCCAACAGGGCGCAATAACAAAACCAAGCGTTCAGTTGGATAATAAGCCCCACTCGGGATGAAACCAGAAATGGCACAGCGTTTCCCCCGCTTTAATCAGAAAGGATGCCTTATTTTTATGATTAATTATCTAGTATTTATTGTGTGCGCTATTCGTAAGGGCTTTACGGTCGAACAAAATGTATTGGTACGTTTACCATACAGTGGAAAGATATATCCATATTTTGAGAAGTCGCGAGATATCGACACCAGCGACTCCACAATGGCCACAATGTGTCTCGTCAAACATGAAGGACAACGTGAACTGCCCTCGCTGACAAACAAAAGTCCCTATGAGCCAGCCAGCTACCATCCCCTTACGCATTCCACGCAAGGGAGAAGAAATCTCGCCATTCCGTAAAAGAAAATACCATAAAACGATGCCTACACTGTTCCATAACATCTCCAACTCGTCTCCACTAGCGAGCGCGCATTGATTGTTGGCGTTTGGGTTTATAGTTATCTTTCAACCCGTAGCAGTCTCCATTAGCAACTCCATATCCCATGGGCGTGCGAGGGCCGCGGGCTGTGACGCAAATGCCACTGGTGATTTGCAAATTTGACAATATCTAATTCAGTGTGGCTGGATGACTATTAAACCCCGCATTTAAAACTATAACATTCCCCTCCGTGCTGGGAGATGTGACGATGCCAGTAGCCAGCATATTCTGTTAGGATTCGTTGCATAACTCGCCAGCCCAACTTAATAAATTGTGCACCGAGAGCGAACGGGTGCAGTAGCCAGTGTGGATATTGTTACGTTTTGAATATGATGGCCCAATCAACACAATACATTCCCTTCGGCGCGAAATGACACAGCGACTTATACGATGTGTACACAAGACATGGAAAGCGAGTGACCTCGCTAAACATGGATATATGGTAGCCAGCACTTGGCTACGTTCTGCTAGGACGCATGCAGCTTATGATAGAGAGGAGGGCAGGGCAGGGCAGCCAGCGAGTGGAACTTGGGACTGCATTCATACATAGACCATACGGGCGCCCGGATAAAGGGCCGCATGAATACTGTATTGTGTGCTCTTTTCTCCAAGAGTCCCCAAGTATTTACAAAAGGTTCGCCATAAAATATTGTGGCGAAACACAGGTGGTTTCAGCAGCTGCCAATATGTATGGAAGCCCATTCAGGCGACCAAACATTTTTTAAAAACGTCTACTATCTCCAAATTTCGAGATAGACCTACCTACATCAACATTTTGAGATAGTAGATCATACATATATAGGAAATGTCTCTTCATTTGTAGCATTGTGGCGATTTCCATCTATCCACATTGCAGAGATCAGCACAGCAGGGCC